TCCTGGCTCTCATCTGCTCCCCCCCGAGAACCTTGGTGTTTTGTGACAATGCGGCTATCGTCCACGCCCTCACACGCTCGAGAGGGATCCGCCGCCAGGGGGCCGGGCCTACTTAAGGCTCGCTCCTCTGGAGGGGGGCTCAGTCAGGAGCTCGGCACCGCAGCAGAAGGGTTTTAAAAAATTATTTCGCCTATCGCTTATTTCTCTTCATATTAATGTGCTTTCATTAAAATAAGGACACCAATTTCACCAAACAGAGATAACAACTTCAATACATGTTTCGCTTCCCATACCCGGAAGGCATCATCAGTGCATACAGAAAAATGAGAAAGTTTCGGTCAACGCAGCCCTACCTATCGGGAATGTCCATGTATACTTTCAGGAGGAGGCCACGGTTCTTGTTGCACTCTGACGCATCCCCGCGGATGAATGACTCAAATAGCTTGAGTGCGCCCCACCTATCTCCCTTCGCCTCCGTTGTTGCGGCCGTAACGTTGAAATTATTTCCTGTAGCCCACGCGTGGACCACAAACTCTCTTTTGAGATGGATCGCGTTCGTAGAATACTTTGTCCCGGGATTTTTTTTGTTATCAGTTCTGGTTCAACTTGCAGGTCTCCTACCTTGAACGTCTTGGAAGCGAAACGTTCAAAGATGCTGTAGTCATAATGACAAAACGACTCATCTCAAATGAGGTGATGTTACTGTACACTCTCAAAGGTATGAGCACCAAAAAGTGCTTTGAATCTCTGGCTCTCTATGAATGCATGCGAGGTCAAACCAGTTTTCTCTCATATCTCGAAATAATTACATTTTTGATCGGCATGAGTAAGACTCAAATCATGATGGTATTTCAGAAAAATTCAGATAGTTTTTCTTAGTGGAAGGCTGCATTTTCATTCAGCGCAATAAAGAAGCGCATCAGCCGTGCGTGTTCTTATCGTCATCCATCATCATGGTAACCAAACTAGTCCTACTCCGAAGTTCATTCATTGTGCTTGACGTGAAGTTCTTCTGATTATATTAATAATTATTTGTACGAAAAGATAAGAACAGCAAGCAAAAAAATAACATTGTTCTTTCACTGAGACAGCAGAGTAGTTTGTAGATAATGGAAAGGTTGTGTCCACGTCCACCGCGTTTTTTTTGTTTTTTTTTTATTTCGCACAGACTCATTAATCAAGCAGTATTCACTATAGTAGCAACATATAGAAATCATCCTGCTGTTATATATATGTACAACTGTAAGGCACAGCCTAACGCGATATGAAAAAAGAACTTCCGACAAAGCAGTTTCTTCAGTGGCGTTCGGCCCACACCATATGCACTTTAATTTGAGGGAGATTGCAACAAAGGTTCATTCTCCAACACCGCCGCCTGAGACTACCTTCTCAAATGGGACTGTTATGTGGCTAGAGACTGTATGCTCACAACTGCGGTGTAAACGCTGTATCTTTGTGTTTCAGATGTACTGCTTAAACGCTTTCCTTCCACTGACGGCACACGGATCGCACAACGTATTGGAAACATTTTGTCAGGAGCATCTGACAGAGAAGGCGGCCTGGAGAAACGTCGAAAGGTGATGAGAGCTACAATGGAAAACAGAGCACTTCGTGGAACTGACACACCGACCGAAGGAATGTAAAAAGAAAGAACTATGCTGTAGCCTGGAAGTTACGTAACTGGATATGTTAAAACATGTAGAGCCTCAAGAAGGGAAACTAAATGAGTTATTTTTTGGTACGACTCTTCATGTGATAAGCTAGTCACTAAAGAACAAAAGGTTTAGTCAAAGTTTCTGCGCTTAATGTTTTTCTTTAGATCCTACCACAGAGGGATGCAGGTCAGCGAAAATACCTCACGCCGGCACATTTCGCTAAAATAACCCGCTACGGAAACCGGAGAGAGAGACCGATATCGGTCTCCCTTCTTTGGTTTTCGTAACGGGCCCTCGTAGCGAAACGTGCGGACAGTCCAGCGCTGCCCGTAACCCTTCGGTATTGCAAAACGGCTCCGGCCCGGTGCCGGCTGCCCCTGAAAAGGCCGAAAAAGGGCTAGGCCGTCCCAGAGCCGGCCTGCACGGTTGTGCCATTGGGAAGGCTCCGGTCCAGCTACGGTGTTTTCCGGCACAGCCGCAGAACTCCGCACACGGCCCGTAGCTAAAGTGACCATATTCCTCGGGCCCCAAAGCGGGACACGTATCGGGGGGAGGGAGGGAGGGGGGGAGGATATTGTGTTACGAGGCTTGAAAAGTTTAAATTTTAGTAATAAATATCACATTTTTATTATTTCGTAAACACTGTGGGCATTTCTTTTCTTGCAATTTGCATACTGTGTGGCTTGAACCTATCTAATGCATTTGATTGGAATATTTCTTGAGTATCGATGTATTTATTTTTGTGTACTATGTCCATAGTACTGTTCACATGTCATACCCCAATTAACCTTCAGCATCTTCTTTGTCGAGCATATCTTGTTCCTTGATCAGAGAAAACACCCTCTCACCGGTGCGGCCCTTTCGTTTAACCGCATCTTTCATTTATCCGCGGTTCGGGGAGCAAAAGCGGGACAAAACGGCGTCCCACAAGCACACTGGTGGGACAGCGGGACCACGGCCGGAAAAGTGGGACCTGTCCTGCCTAAATCGGGACGTGTGGTCAGTTTACCCGTAGCCGATTGATGTTGCAAAACGGTTCCGGCCCAGTTCCGGTTGCACCTGAAAACGTCGGAAAACGCCGACGCCGCCCCAGAGCTGGCCTGCACGTTTGTACTACTGGGGTTGCAGGAGTTGGTTGAACTGCAGCAGAAGTTGGCCCAGCAACAGAATGATGTGACCCAGATCAGGCAAAAAGTCAGCCGTTTGCAGAAACAAATAATGCACTTCCCCAAGAAACAAAGAATGTCGCTGATGGACTCCACACTGTGTTCACAAAATATCCAAATTCGTGCTCTTGGCAGGAAGTCTAACCGTGGAAGTGCGTGGTCACCCGCTACAATAAAAAAAGGGACTGCAGCTATATTTTACAGGTGGATCAACTGGGTACCTTACGTGCACAATGGCAACCTCTGCCGGCTGAGCGCACCCTGCGAAGCCACATTCAAGGGATAAGTTCAAACCTGGAGTCCTGGGCGAGGTTTTCGACCACAAGAAGGTTAAAATTGCTATTGGTAAAAAATGCACAAGAAAAGAAATTAGTGCTGATGCTTGACGAAATGCAGCTTCACGATAAAGTTGAGTATGACCCCAGCACACAGAGTTCCTGCGGCTTCACAACGTTGGGAGGAAGCGAACCTACATCTGCTGAGGGATCTGCTCAGGCATCCGCTCAGGCATCCGCTCACGGCTCTGCTCAGGAATCTGCTCAGGCATCTGCTCAGGGATCTGCTCAGGGATCTGCTCAGGGATATGCTCAGGGATCTGCTCAGGGATCTGCTCAGGGATCTGCTCAGGCATCTACCCAGGGACCTGCCCAGGGACCTGCTCAGGCATCTGCTCAGAAACCTGCTCCTACATTAGCAACCCACTGCTTGGTCTTTATGATTGAAGGAGTGTCTACACGATGGAAACAAGTAGTAGCCTACCACTTTACAGGACCTTCATTTGGTGGTCCTGATTGCGCAGGTGTCGTCAGGAATATCATTCGACGATGCACAGCCATTGGATCTGACATTGTTGCTGTGACAAGTGACAGAATCGGGCAACTGGGCTATGTGGAATGAATTCGGCATCATTGCTGGCAGATACTGCAAGGTTTCCTGCAGCTCGCCCCATCCAGATGATCCGTCGAAAAGGATGTTTTTTCTTGCCGATGTTCGGCACATCATCAAAAATCTGAAGAACCACCTGTGTTGATCCCAGCAGGTAATCCTTCCTCAAGATACTGTTGATAAGTTCAACTTGCCATCACAGGTTGTCCATCTGTGGTCTGTGAAGGAACTTCTAGCGCACAACAAGAAAAATGTTTGCAAACTGGATTTTCATCTTACATCATGCAACAGACCTCTGCACTTAAAAAAGGGCGTTGGCAACTGACAACAGCTTAGCAGATAGATTACGAAGGCATGCCATAGGCGCATTCAAGCCGCGACGTTGAGCCGTCGGCGTTTGCGAAGGGATCGCGCTGCAGCGCGCAATTGCAGAGCCATCTAGATAAGGAGAAGGCCCTTTCACTCCTCCGGCCAAGCCCTCCCCCGGTCCAAATGCCCACAGAGCACCCACAGAGAATTTGTGTGGGGTCCTACATAGCTCTATGGGACACCTGTGGGTCTCTGTAGGACTCCCAAAATCCTTGTGGGGATGGGGCTGTGGGTCTATGGGACATGTGGGAAACTCTGTGGGTTGCTTTCTGTAACCCACACAGCCTGTGGGGATAGGGCTGTGGGTCTACGAGACATGTGGGGATAGGGCTGTGGGTCTACGAGACATGTGGGAGGCTGTGCGGGTTACTTTTTGTAACCGACACATCCTGCGGGTATAGTACTACTTTCTATGGGACATTGTGTCGATGGCTTTAGGTAATTCACGCCATGTGATCAGGACCATGGGCTTTATGAGACAAGCGGGACACTGTGTGGGAGACTGTAGGTATCCTACACATACTCAGTGAGCACTCTAAGAAGTCTGTGGGAAACCTTCAGGGACCCTATGTACTAGTCATGTTGCTGAAAATGTGAAAAAGTACTCAGCCCTAGGCTGCTTGCATTTTAGTATGCGACAGTAAGCTAAAACAGCTGCTTTCTTACGTTAACTCATGCCCACCAGCACATATGCTTTTGAGAAGAAACTATATATACATTACAGAATCTTTCGCTCATGCGTCACAGCTCATTCTGACTGTTTTTCTTTAGTCAACATTACTCTGAAGTTGCCAGTCTTGTGTTCTGGATTGTTCTGGCCTTATCAGACATATGTTCTGCGTTAATATGAGTACTCACAGGTTGTCATTAGTAACAACAGGTATAAATAGGCAGTTCTGAGGAAAACATGCACAATGAGGACTTGACTGGACTCTGTATGTTTATTTTATATGCAGATCCAATGGCCATAGAATGAGACAAGAAAAACAAGTACAATAACAGCTCTACATGACAAAACAATCATTCCACGGCAGGATGGCAACTGAATCTAACATAAAGGCAGTTTCTCAAACCACAGAATATGACGTTCGACTGCAAAGCGAATAGAAGGACAAATAGTTTTCTTTGAATGAGATGCATATATCTATATTACACATATTATCAGATACCATATTTCAAATTTGCACTGTAATGACTAAGTGTCAGTGAAGCCCATGTGTTCACAATATTCATAAAATACTACAAGAATTCACGTTTCAGAGAAGTGTTGCATAAAGTTGAGTGAGGGGGGTATAAGAGAACATTGAAAGCATGCACACAAGTATGCATCAAAGTATGGCATTCAAATGGGGAATGGGTGTCCAAGTGTGTTGCCTCACTGCAGCTTGGAGAATGAGAAGGGAAAGCATGCATTGCAGAAGCCAGGGATTCTGGGCTCAAAATCCTCTCCCAATATTAAAAGCATAAATAGATTATACAGCAGAATTTTTTCTCAAAATGAGCTAAGTCCACAAACCGTAACTAAGCCAATTTTTGCTAAAATTTGGAAAACGTGTGGGTGTGCATCATTCCCAAAAATTGCAGCAAGCTGAAATCAGTCATAATATGCAAGGAAAACCATGGTGCAGGTGGCTGCATTATAGGACTAGTTAAAAGCTAATTTTATAAACAAACATTCTCACCTTATCTCAGTTTCGCTTCACATAAGTTTGGCCCTTAGAAAAAAAAAAAAAAAACTCCTCAAATATGCATGGAACAGGATGTCTACCAACCTGGAAAACCTGGAATTTTCAGGGAATTTCAAATCATCTGGAAAAGTCTGGGAGTTACCAGGAAAACCGTCTGAAAGGTGGTTAAATAAGGGAAAATGACCATTGAAAGTGGCACGGCCGTGCAGAATGAAGTGCAACGGTTGCACATCGGCACACCTATATGCTAAATAATGTTGCTGAAATGCCATCCTTCGACCCACAAACTGTCAGGGAAAAACCTGAAACAGTCAGGGAATTTAAATTCAGTAATTTGATAAACATCCTGATGGAAGCGCAACGGCATTAGGAGGAATTGGTGACCAAGTGTGTTAACGCGCCACAGCACTGGACATGTGGAGGGAAAGCTTGCACTGGAGAAGCAAGGGATTCTGGGCTACATCCACCTACCATTGAAAGTATAAATATAAATGGAAGCTCAATGGCATTTAAAGAGAAGGATCTGTGGTCAAGTGTGTTAATGCATCAAAGCTCGGAGGACCTGGGGCAAACGTTAACAGTACACAAATTCCCCAAGATGCAACCGAAACACTAAAACTGGGAATTGCTAGAGAATTTACGACATCTTGAAAAGTCAGAATAATCGGGAAAACCACCAAGCAGCTAGCTGAAGTCGGGAAAAACAGCCAGTTTAAGTGGCATGGTGGCATGCAACGAAGCACCACGGTGCATCGGCATACCCGCACTGAACATAATGTAAAATACCAAGCAAGTGCCCACTCAAACTTTGGAGATAATTGCAAAAAAAGCGGATGGGCCCCTCTCCGCTCATCAGTTTTACATATAAATGTACTCTCCGTATTTTCTCAGATCCTACAAATTTGGGAATGGGCGCTTAGTGTGGTGTGGGCGGATGCACGGTATTCTACCGTAGTCAGCGAAAACTTGGAAAAGTCAGAGAATTTGAAAGAAGCAATTCAGAAGGCACCCTGAACAAGCAGACAAATTAAAAATAAAACTGGTAACCTATTAAGACTGCAGCCCAGCCTGCATCAGTTAATTTCCAGAAGATTGGGAACCTTACAAACAAACGAAGAGTTCTCGACATCCACTCGCACTGCCTTCCTCAAAAGTGCTGAAACAGCGACCATTTCGAGGGAAGAAAACTCCCCAACTGCAATATGGGGAGCACCACAAAATGCTGCATCCTCAACTTCGAGTACCTCCACAATCAAACCGACTTCCTGTGCACTGTTAAGCCTGTAAGAAAAAATCGAACGAATAATGCCGAACTTTTCGCCTTGAAGAACTACAACAGTGTCATCGCTTCTTTGAGGACGTGAGTATTGAGCTGAATGGTACAAAACTCCTCCAGCGATGAATCTTAAGAAGACTGAAAGACATGAAGGAACTGTACCAAGGGCAGTGATAATGCATCGTTTTTCGGCATTACTGAACTTGGACGGCTGTGCTTGGCCCAAAAGAGTTACGCCAGAGACTGTGTCCCCCGAGTGGCACCTTTTCTCATCCTTGAAAAATGCAAGGGATCTCTTCATTACATCCGTTCCTTTAGTTAAGACATAAAAATTTACAGACTGTTTAAGTATAGCTTTGTGTAACACCTGCATAGCTACTCCACGGTTGCCTTTGATAGATTTAACCAAAACGCCATTGTACGACTCAAAGCAGAAGGCCGAATGGGTCCACAAAGGCCCCCAACGAAAAACATCCTTTGCCAAGTGCTGGAGTAAGTGGACGTTGAAAACCATGTTGATGTCCCCATATAGCATATTGTATTTGATCACAAATTCCGTTAACAAAATTTGGGCCATGTTGATGTCGTCCCCTGTAAGTGTGTCCTGAATTAGGCAAAAAATGGAGTGTACAAGAAGAGCGAGGTGCCCAAGGAAGGGTTCTGGCAAAATGCCATAGAGGACCGGCAACGAATAATACAGAAGCCACGACCGGTACTCTTGTGCCTTCCAAAGCTTTCGTTCACTGACCCCCCGGGGAAACCTGCCGAGCTTAGAAGGAGGCTTGATGGCCTTCATTCTGCGATCTACTAGCCTCACGGTTGCCGGATCTCCAAGATAAAACCCCCCTCCGGTGTTGCTGTCGAACCACAAGCTCAAAAGTGTACGAGACACGCCGAGGAGGACGGCATGCATGTAGTCTGGAACAAAGGATTCAATAACGTTAAAAAATGGCAAGTTGAGCAATGCAGACGGACCCTTAAACCCTCTGCAAATAACACCATGTGATGCAGCTTCACGCATGTCACGGATTGCACTTTTCGATTGTCTGTCATCAGCTACCTCTGCAGAGACCGTATAGCGAATTGACCTGTTAACGAGAGATCCAGGGTGCAGGCACCAACCGCAACCAAAATAAGAATTGAATTGCATCATATTTTGTAACAAAGGACGGGCCACCGAATCCACACTGCAGCATACTGCGAAAGCCTTACTTAGCACCTCAGTGCCGTTGCGCTTCCATACAAACCCCTGATCACACAGAACCTTACACTGTTGCACAAAGCTTTTCATGTACAGCTCCATTGGAGGGTGATTCTTTCCGAACCACACACTAGAAAGGATGACATTCCTAAACCTCTCAAAGACCGGGAGTTCATTTATAATAAGTTGAAGTGGCCAGATAGAGCAATTTTTACTTTTAAAGACTGGGCACCCATCTGTGTTAAAGGTAAAAGAAATGTTATTGGGATTTCCGAGAACTGAGAATTTTTTACATAAGTCCTTGTACATATGTCCATCACATATGTCAGAAAATGTGTTGCTTGGTCGATTAAACCTTGTAGTTAAGAAGCTGTGATCAGAAAAACTCTCCAGAACACTTTTCAGCTGAGACGCTAATGAGGCTGTCAAAAAAAAAACCAGATCCATCAGATTTCCTAACGTCAAACAACTTTTTACAAATCCGGCACTTCTGTATGTCCTTCTGAACAGTGGAGGTCAATTCAACAGAACAAGATAAACAATAATAAACGAGATCGAAATTCTTACAGAAGTTTAGAGACTTCTCAAACATATAGAGGGAGCTAGGCACAACCGGCCTTCCAAACAAGGTGTTTACCAGAAACAAGGCGTCCTTCAACCCAGTCATTGAAAGCCCGCTGCGGATTACAAACAAAATAATCAAAATGAGGGCTTCCGCTTTAGTCACCCCCCCACTACAAACACGTTCATCATTGGATGGCACACTTCCTTCCATTCCACAGACAGGCTCCTCATCGGAGGCGTCATGGAATGTGTCGTCTTCACTTGACTCTTCTGAATCGAAGTCGTCTTCTGAAGATTCAGACAAGGAGGAATCCTGTGCAACAAAAATGACATGAATTTATAAAGCCAAATATAGCACAATTTCACAAAATCAACAAACAGTCCTTGCTTTAGAGGACACTGCTATACCAGAAATGTGAAATCAAACAGAGCAATAGACGATTAGCAAAATTCCCAAGCACCGAGGAGAGTGCAGTGAATGTAGCCACACGCACCCCAGAAATCTTTGCAGGTGCCTTTTAAGAAGGGAGAGGCATGTTCAATAGTTCAGTTTGCTGGTTTCTCTAAAAAAAAATCTGGAAATGAAGATGCATTTTCAGCCACTTTCTTTTGAAAATGCTCCAACTTTTTACTAATTAATACCTCATTACCTAATTAGGTCAGAAACACTACTACAGCAAGTTTAACTGCTTTCTGTTTATACACGCACTGTTTTTCTTGGTTTCAAATTCAACATAAACCAGCCATAAATAAGAAATGTTACAAAAAGCCTTTTTGTTTGGGTTTTAACTTTTTAACTACACTCACCGTTGTGTTGTCCACCGGGTCATCTGGCTGGGTGCTGGAGTACTCAGTTTCCTGAGACTGAAAACAAAAACTTCCAATGTAAGCAGGGTGCACATATAACCTCCATGTACATCATATAAATCTCCAATGAAGACTTTCTTCGATAACAACATAAATTGAGAGCACGAAACTTTCCAGAATGAATTTACGGCTGACAAAGATATCCGAATTTCAGTATTAATGCATGTCTGCCCATGTGTTTGACACCGTGTCTAACATATCAGGGAATATATTGTGTGCCAATAACTGAGCAAGTGAAAATATCAAAGGGGCACTAAGAGGTTATTGAGAGTGTCTATCCATAGTGATAACTCATTCTATTTAATCTAAGCATCCTAAAAATCTAAAGATCACAACCATGCCGAGCCTATTTTCCTATTAAGAATGCGATCAGTTTGCGAAATGCCCCTTTTTTTTAATTTTTGCTGAACACAAAGGGGTGGTGCCAGTGCATTTGAACAAAGCTGAATGACAAAGGTGCTAGTCAGCCAATCATGAGTGATGGTTCCCTCGCAGATTGACCCAAACAGGAAGTCAACACGCAGGCATATTAGAGCGTTAATGTTCCACAGACCATAAGAAATTCCAGACGGAACCCACTGGCACGAGAAAGAAAATGTCTTCCACAAGTGTTGCAAGTGAATTTTTCGGGAAGCAGACGAGCAGACACATCGCTCCCGCACAAAAAGGCAAGGGGAAACTTAGTTTGCAGCAGTGTCTAAATAGCGAACACATGTTAACTTGCACCCCCCTACTACATAATACAACAAAAACATGCATCTTAAAAAAAAGTCTTCAGTGCCCTTTTAATCACTTCATGAGTTAATTATAAAAGGTTGCTTTTAGCCTTCAAAAATATTACAAAGCAATATGGTTACCATTTTAGTGATATGAGAAGGCTATTGTGGACTGCTTGTGCGTAGATTTAGTAGGATATGATGTGATGCGTAGATTTTCTGTGTGATGCATAGATTCAGTAGGAGTGATTTGGCGTGCGTTTCCACAAACACCCTGTATAACCACCACCATGAATGCTGCGGGGACGCATGGAATCACTAGAGCATAGTTATGCAGGTGGCCACATTTGCCCTCGCTCTAAATGCGCCAAGAGTTGATGACCAAGATGCCGAGCATCAACAAAATGTGGATGCAAGGGGAACCAATTCCTGTTATGTGATGCCAAAGCCACTTTTGCTGCCTATATTTGCAGGGTCAGTAGGGTCCGACTCATCTGGGGCTCTCAGTATTAACAAGATACCACTTTTATCATCAGTGCCCAAAGGTGCACTTTTAAATGAGCCAATTCTGAAAAATACGTACTAGCAGTGGGGCTTGGTTAGAGGTCCCAGGTTCCTGGGAAGCAGATGAGGGTTCCTGGAATAAAAAAAAGTGATTGCTTCACTAAGGGAATCTATTCCATGAAATAGCAAGCACCTTGGTACACACAATATTTGAGGTATCTTGAAAAACTCAAGTGCAATTGAATCCTTCCCACAGTATGGGTTGCCGGGCTTTGCCTGTGCATGCTCTTTGTTCCGGAGGTCTCCAGTTGACGCCGGACTGCCGACTAGAAAAGCATGGCTTTAATATACAGAGCACTCCACTGCGGTCGTCAAATGTGATTGGGAGTGGGATCATGCTCAGTGCCACAAGCCATTCTTCCTTGCAGTGTCTTTTACCTTGAATCTTCTACTTTCGATTGTTGCAATAAGTGCGCCAGGCACGTAGCAGGGGGGAAAGGCGGGGGAGGCAGGCTCCCCCCCCCCATCTATAGCAAAATTTTCAGTTTTGCTGGGACCTCCTCTCTCCCATCTTTGGCGGTTTACCATGAGCGGGATCCCGCCCTCAAAATAAAATCCTGCCTGCGTGCCTGAAGAGCGCACTTGTCTTGCTAGCAGTGGCGTAACGAGGGTCAGCGGCACCTGCGGCGGTAGTACGCCGCAACACCCTCCGCTCTCGCGTGGCCCGCTGCGACAGCCCCCCCGAGCGCTGCACCCAGGGCGGCCGACACCCCCCGTCCCCCCTTGTGACACCACTGCTTGCTAGAGCTGTTTAATGATCTACTTTTCAATAAAAATCAATGTTAAGTTTTCTCCTCAAATATTTGTTCTCATTTCTATTTTTTTTTTTCTTGCATGAAAACAAAAATTGTTACAAATTATTCTTTTTTTGTTTTGGAGTCTAACCAGAACGGAACATTTTTGTATGAAATGAAACTGAAACCAAACAACAAAAATCTTTTTGTTCCAACACCCTGCCTGTCCATATCACAAGAGTGACCAGACTACAACGAACTTCCAAGACCCTAATCAACAGCAGCCCCCAAGCGCGACAACGGTAGAAGGGGGCGAGCACAACAAAGAACCTTGCTGCATCTATTATCGACCTCACCTAATCAGCTTAGCTTAAGAAAAGCGTGACTGGTGTAGCGCTCAACTGTAAAAGAAGTTGTACGCTTTTGCTATTCAGCAAGTCTGTGTGGTGATCCAAAGTGCAATGCCACTCGCCTCCTCACTCGGCTGAAGTGTTTTAAGCATAAAATATATCTTCATATTTCATGTGACCTTGGCTGCTGCGTGAAAAGCAAGGGGACATCAACACATCAAGAAAATGTACTCGTTGCTCTTGATCGAAAGATCTGCATTATCACAAAATGCGCAAAACAGTTGGCAGTGCAGGTGTGCTTGACATGCCTACCAGCATTGGGTAGCTTGCATGAGGTGCTAGCACTGGTGCCACAGGACGCATGTCAGGTAAAATGCATACTAATCTCCAATGTGAGTTTGCAGCCTCATCAGAGCTGCCAAGGGTTTGGCAAGCTAGGCTACTATATGAGGGGAGTATGCTGGCAGCCGAGACAACTGCTTCCTGCTCTCAGCGTGAAACGCCACTCCACTTTTAGAAAATGGTGCTCGGTTGAGGGCGTTTCAGACGCTGGGTCAAGGCGTGCATCTGTTTAGCCATAGTGAGGGTGACCGTAGCAGACGGACTTTACTATGCAGAAGGATCATATTTATTTATTTATTTATTTATTATACCCTCAGGGCCGAAGCATTTATTATACCCTCAGGGCCGAGGCAGTGTTGTGACGTCAAGTAGCAAACACTTTCACGGTGCATTTATTTCAATAGATGCAATGTGAACAGAAAGTGGCAAAAAAATGTTCGAGGACATCTAAGCACTTATGAGTTGCAAAAGCATGAATGTCATTCTTTCGCTCCCTTAGTTTGTCTGCGGTGTAGTAGCGTGGGCAGTCACGTTTCAGTACTGCCAAAGTAGCGGCCAACGGTCGAGCGCATGCTCTTGTGAGCCACGCTGAAATTGACTGTACAACCTCCTCCGAGTTCGCCCGAAAGGGCTCTGTGGCCAGGCAGCCAGGCCCGCACCGCTGCACCTCGCCGGGCCGCTGCAAGCACTGCGCCGCCATACAGAGGGCTTCTCTGGTGGTGGTTTTTGCAACCACGCCGCACGAGAGCCAATGGGTGCCTCGTCCCTTGATGATGTGCACCAGCCAATAAGAGAGTAATCCATCAGAGGTTGGCTTCATTTCGCTCCTTTTATAAAGGTGAATTTATCTGCCATTTTGCGTGGCTTTTTGCACGGGTTCAAAGCTGGGATGCTTCAGGTTGTGGTTTCGCTTCGCTCCATTGGGACAGGGGAATTTAGGAGCTGTTTGGCGCAGCTGACGACGTCGGCTCGCTCCATCGGACAGTTAATGCTTTTGCAATAATAAAGATTCAAGGCTGAGGTCTGGTTTTCTCGAGTGCCTAATATCTTGACAAGTCTTACATTAAAAGAACATTTTTTTTTATCAGACCGGCTTGTTTTTTGTTTTGTTTTTTGTGAGAAGATGGGGCGAAAGTATGAATGTACCAAAGGTTTACTTTTGAATTAACCAACCGAAAAAATACATACCAGCAGTGGTGCTTGGTTAGGGGTCCCAGGTACCTGGGAGAGAGGTGAGCTGTCCTGGAATAAAATCGTAACAGCACCTCATTAACCAGAGCGCTGGCTAGGCCGATTTTCGGCCAATTTCGTCATAATCTTTTTTGGGCACGAGCATTTGAACCTCTTGGATAATGTCTACTTTCTTTTGGCCATTTGTATGACTATCAGAGATAGAAGTACTTTGCGATAAAGAGTAACTGCCACATTCATTTGGACAAAGTCTGAAAATTGGTTTATGTCCTCATTGAACCATGCAAACCAAACTTGCACCGCAGGTGTCCAGGGATCCGTGTCATGGCGACCAGAAGTCGCTTAATAAAAACTTGCACAGCTATACACTCCGTGCGACGCGACTGGCGCGCCGCCGCGCGGCCGGTACCGAAGATTGGCAGTGAGAACCCCAGAGAAAACGAAACCGAAACCACGCCGTGTACGTTGGTACGCATTGAAGTCGGAGCGGTGCGGTTGCGCTGGGTTCACAGCGTGAAGTGCAGCCTGTGCTGCGTCATTAAGTGCTTCAATAGTTATGCGTCGTATCTCGTGGAGACAAAGCTTCACAGTTTTTCACCTCGCCGATGTTTTGTGGGACAGCGACAACGATGGACCCGTGCCGTACGACGCGAGAAATTTGGTCTCCCGATCATGTCTGCCGCTGTGTCGGCACGGCTGACATATTCTACACTGCCGCTTTGCGCTCTGCGTTTGTTTTCGTACCAGTGACGCCTACGTGTGTGAGCGCCGACGGGACGAACTGAAATGCCATCCCACACTCGCGGGTATGCAGTGCCAATTTCGTTGGAGGAATGCCCTCCAAAGAAGTTTCGTCCCCATCGTACGTGTCGATGATATTTCCGGACAAGTATGGCACGCAATCTGTACTTCATGAAGAAAGATTCGAACGGTAAAAAAAAAAAAGGACAAATATAAATCTAAAGAAAACAACAATGAAACTCGGAATCACTGGAGAATCGGCGTTTGAGTATGGAAGTTTATGTGGTGTGCTTTCTTTCTTGATCAGCCTCCTTTTGGATGTGGAAACGCTGACACCCCGAGTTTTGTAGACAATATTTTTTTTTCTCGGCTTAGAGCCACCTATCGCAAAGTGGTTCGAACTGGAAGTACCGTCCACTGGTCCCTTCCTACCTGTAAAGTGTGCACCTCCCACGATGAGTGGTATTATCTGACAGCCTTTCACGGTCAAAGCCATGGTTCCGATTTAGTTACGCCGCCCAAGCTAAATTTCCAGCTGGTTTCGCTACGCCAACTATTTTTGTTATGAGTGTTGTGCCAAGTGACGGCCATGTCAAAGTACCTGTGCGCCGAAAATCAGCACCTCGCACAACAGGTTATTACACAACAGCTGACCGCAAAAGCCCTTGGCGGCCAAACCGTGTGTTGGCCGACAACTTTGTTTTCTCGGGTTTGGAACCACCTTTCGTAAAGTTGTTTCAATTGGACGTACAGTCCACTAGTCCCTTCCTACATCTAAAGTCTCCACCTCCCCCGACCAGTGGTATTCTCTTGACAGCCTTTTCATGGTCAAAACCGGTTTCCATTGAGTTACGCCGCCAAAACCAAATTTTCACCTGGTTTCTCTATGCCACCTTTCTTTGGCATAATAAGTGCTGTGTCATGTTACTGTCAAGTCCAAGCACCTGTGTGCCCAAATCTTCACTTTGCAAAGCCTGGTTATAACACAACATTTTGGGTCCAATGTTGGATATCCCGTAAAGCTTTATTTCTTTATTCGTTAGAAACCTAACTTTCACACCTGCTGTCTTAATGAAACTTGGCACACTTCGTGCGCAAACTTAGTGAACATCTCACTCGCCTCCAATATCATCGTTCCAGCAGTCCTACGTTTACAGCGACGAGCGAAACAAATTTCCCACTCAGAGCAATTATGGTGGCGGCCGTCTTGCTTTTCGAAACATTGCTCCAACTCCTTTTTTGGCCGCAACTAGCGAAATTACCGCTAATATCGACTCAAACTCAATATATAAGAAGTGGAGAACAGCTAAATTTCCTTTTTAGGTCTGCCCCAGCACTCGTGCAACGTCACCCACAACGTATCGGCTCAAAAAGCAAAAGTTTCGTCCGTGCGCGTTTCCGCCGCCACTGCTTGGCATGCGAAAAGGCGCCGCGGGCTGCTGAACGCGCCTCGCGATCGAACGCCAGCTCCTCCGCTAGCGGCGCTGCGCGCGTTTTTCAAAGCGCCCCCTATAGTTCCCGCACGGAGTGTATACACGCTTGCAGGCGTGGCCTTTGGGCACCGCTAAAACCAATGAATAAGCTTCATTTCAGAGTAGCGAAACTAAGGTATGGTGACTCGGCAGTTACTAGTGAAGCAGAGTAGCGGCAGCCATTTTGTTACCTAAGCTTTAGAGGCGTTAGAGTAGCTGCACTAAGTATGGTGGCTAGAGAGATGCTAGTGAAGCAGAGTAGTGGCGAGCATTTGGTTGCCTGGCGGTAAACAGAAAAGAGCATCGATGCATAAAAGCGTACTCCCTTTAGTAACAGTAGGCGCCGCCACCTCGCTTGTTGGGGTGTGCATGGCATGTCCCGAAGCGCACCCCAGCTAGTAAGACGGTGGCACCAACAGGCCATGCTTGTAAGTGTGTACACCAAAGTAGTTTTAGTAATGTTGGCTGGTGCATACACTCGAAGAAAACCAGGCATGCTAATTTCATAAGTGAGAAAATAATATTGAAAGCATGGCCGGGACACTCAAAATCAGGCAATTTAGTATAAAAATGTTCTTGGCTAAGGAACCGCACTGGAATGCTTGACAGGAGCACCCTTGTAGGGGGCTTTAAAGGGACTGTCCAACTATTTTCTCACTTTCGCCATATACTGTATAGAAAGAATCCTTGAGACTCATAATAAGCGAAAAGAGTGTTAGTGCTTCTATCTGCATACTAGCAGAAATTGAAAAAAAATTAAGAAAAAATATTACTTTTCACCCCCTCAACTCGCATGCCCGATCAAGCGGCCACCCGATCTCGTGACACGCTTTTATGCCCCCCTGTTCGTCACAGCCATGCGCTAGGTTTGGCAATGTAAAGGACACGTGCTCTGCCAGGACATTGTTAGATTTTGGTTATTTCCCTCATCGCAATGATTGGACATAAGCTCTAACCCATATCTCTACACAGACTATCGTTGTTCCAGAGCCTGAGCAGTGTAATGACGCACTGCTCATGCCCAACCCACAAGATGCATTCGGCTGGGGGCCCTTGGGGCTGACGCCATGGCTCCACCACACCCCATTTACAGGGCAGTGGAAGCTACATGCACATGATCGTAGCTTTGAAGCGGGCTTTTCTGGAGCGAGTGCTTGCTTTAGGGGGAAACATTTCTAAGCAAGGAGTGTGGGCTAGCTCGAGCTTATGGCCTTCGCTGTGCTGACACCTGAAGGGTGAACAAGATACCCTGTGACTACGCAACCCTATGGCCCTGGACCGCGTAACCAAGTTTCGCGAAGGCAAGAAGAAAATATATGTTTTACTCTTGAGCTTATACGGCAACAACGAAACTTCTGGCTCGGTGCATTACATTGGACTATACTTGCAGAATGTATGGAAAAGCGAACTGAAAATGTTGCATATCCCCCTTAACGCTCGGCACCCCCTACTTCGTCTCACCCTAGCATGGGCTAACCGGAGAAGCCGTGCTAGCGCGAGACAGCCTGACCCCGACTGACGCTCGCGCCGCACGACTGCAGTGCAGCCGCCCAGGCGTCATTCAAAACGATTATCTCCCTCCTCAGGCACGTGCGGTCAACAATAGGTCATGCTAAGATGAGCCGAACAATAAACCTTTCCATACCAGCGTCTCAGGGAGCATTCATTGCCGTGTCTGTGCATTTCGCACGAGCATTCTCTGGCACGCCCCAGTGTTAAGCACGCGCTCGGTGGTCTGATCGAGCCCATGTGGACTGTGACATTTGTAAACAGCGGCATCGTCTGTAGACGATTCCAATGTTTACAAATGTCACAGTCCAGACGTGCTGACTAACAGTCCAGCCCGTGCGTGTTCGTCGCTTGGAAAAGCGAGCAGAGCACGCGCCATACGCACGAACGCTGCAAATGGCACCGACTTAAGCTCTTTATCGGAAAGATCGATAGACGCTGACGTAAAGCGTCTAACAATGTGCAAGGCAAGCGCGTGCAGCTCGTGTAACTATACTCGCTGCTAGCCCTTGGTAATTGGGAAATTTACCAAATCGTCTATTCATATCTTCGGCAAACGATTCTAACTTACGGGTTCATCGGTTTCATCCGCAGTTCCATCGTAGTTTTTCTTCATTTGCTTGCGCCAGGCAGTTGCTTTCGGTAGCACAAATTCATTTCCAGGCTCCAAGTACTGCTTCCGCTTCGTGCCAGACATGTTGACCCGATCAAAGCCTTTAGCTACTCAAATGAAACGAAGAGACACCAGCAATCATCCACAGACCCGGTGACAACAACTGGCACCATGTGCGTACGCCGGATCGGATCGGATTGGATTGGATAACATATGAGACAATTTCTTCTTGGCGGTAAAATTGGTAAAATGCAGGCATTCCAAGCCAGCAAAAGCAGCAAATATTATTTAAACAACCTAGAGCGATAATTTAATCAAAAAATTAAGTATCACAAAATATTTAGTCGACAAAATGGACATTCAGTATACGGGAAGGCATTTACTTCATCGTACGATGTTTTAGCGAACGAAAACGAAACCAGACCAAGTCGTCTGCTTCTTGCGCAGGAGTTGCATGGACATCAGATCGACGCTGAGCTCCGATTGGCTTTGACTGAAAGATTGTAGGCAGACCTCATTTCTAGGTACCTCGAGGTCTACCCACTATTATCTTTTAATCAGCCAACAAGAGCTCGGCGTTCTGACATCATCGCAACCACTGTACAAGTAGAAGACAAGCTTGCACTCCGCACTGGCGAATGGCTCTGTGCTAGTAGCCTGGCTTGCCGAACCCTTGGCGGTGAACCCTAGGCGTGGCACCCTCGAACTTCATATTGCATTTATTTACCACGAGGGATTGATATCAAAAGGTGGTCTGTCTTGATGACCGCTTAAGCGGACGAATGACCGCTTAAACGGTCATTCGCGGAAACGTCCATTCGCTCAAAGGATTTCTATTCGCTAAATAGTCGTTCGTTAAAACACCATTCGCTCATATAGTTATGTTATGCACCTCAGTACGCACGAGCTACGTGATCACAAGGGCATGCTAGAGTTGGAAATAGTACGTAACGCATGTTACAATCGAATGCGCCGATAAGTTTATTAAATAATCAATAAAACTATCTGATCAGGTTTCATCTGTTTACTTTCAAATAATTTCTAACGATTATTTCTTAAGTATTCCTGCATGAGCCTTAGCTCCTAGGTTCCGGAGAATGGCCATGGAGATTTCACGCCCTCCATCTCGACATCAAAGCTTCAGCATAATTAAGTATGATCAATCGACTGATTTCTTATCCAAATGAGCTTATTAACAGAAAACGTATTACTGTATGGTGTGCGTTGAGTAGATGGCCTGTATATTTTACTTTATCGGGCGCCATGGTCCCTGTGTGCTCTCCGGCATACGTACCAGGCGGCTCTGCTAGTACTTACATCTTCGCGCTGCGGTCCTACGGTACCCAAAGAGGAAAGACACCGACAGCGTGATAAGCGAACATGTTACTGTGACTTGTGGAGATGTCTACCGAATTCCGAGGATAGGATATATGTGTACAAAAGTGTTTGTCCAGAGCGATCCGATATTACAACCCTAGCTGAGCATGTCGCATTTGATATCTTATTTGTCAATGCAGAATGCTGGGCTAATTGGGATGTCAAGGGCATGGTAGCGCTTTAAGACGAGGACGAAGAAGGGACTAGAAAATTGGGTTGTGTGTATGTTTATACAGCTCGAGCTTGGTCTGCCTCAACGGACGCGACGGGTCTCCCAGCTGTAGATGAGCAATTTAGCCAGTGCAGTACAACCGCTAGCCTGGGGTCTTTAACGTGCACCACGCAGTAGTGATACACGACCGCACGCCGGTACAATGCTCATATCCAGATCGAAACGGCCGGAGGCGGGGATTCAAACCAGGATCCCTGGGTTCTGTAGCGCGAACTTTCGCTCCACGTGCTCCGAGCTGGTGTACGCTAGCCCACTCTGCCCACTCTGCCACAAGCGCTGGCTGCAACTATTCATTCAGTTGCAGTTAGCGCTCGTGCGTGTCTAGGTCTCTTCTTCGTCCTCGTCTAAAAGCGCTACCATGCGCCCTCCATATGTTGACAAGAAAGCACTTTCGAAATCATAGACAGCTACATAAAACATATAGCTACTTATTTTTGTAAAGCCGGAACCTAAAGCATGTATTTGTAGACATATAGGGAACAGTAATTGGCTCGGTGCCAATCAGTTCATTAAACAGCGTTTCATCGACAAATCGTTTCGTCGACACGAGCAAGCATTCGATTATTTGATGGGCACACCAGAGCATCATTTTCCGCTTCGCCCGATTGGTATATAGCCTCTGGGTTGCTTGCCGTACCTTGGCGGTTCCGAAGAGCCGTTCAATATAATCTCCTTGATTCAATCGAATTCTCCGGGGCTTCACTCTTGGCTTAGCTGCTCGGGCTCATATATAACCTAATAATGCCTTTTTTTTTTTTTTTTTTTAACGTGTTTAGGGCACGTTACATTTTGCGGCGCCTGGTACCAGCATAATATCCATATGCTAGTTGTAGGCGCTCGTTTAGGCGTTTAGGTGTTCTTCTGTTTCCTTGACACACGTGGTTACTGTTCGTTGTTGTTCCTCGTGCGGTGCCGGCGTGGCAGTGTCCGGGTATAGAACCCAGACCGGCGGATTTTTTGGGTCGCGCACCAGTCACCTAGCTGTGTTTGGAGATTTGTGTTTGTCCTTTGTCCCTCTTGTGTTCCTTCTCCAGGGATCATTTTCGTCATTCCTGTCCAGTTCGCTCACGAAAAGTGGACAAAATCGCATTTCCAGAATAGGCCCCTGGCTCAGGACCAAAACGACACAAGCCTTTTTTGTTGCGATGCGTAGTTTTCGCAATATTGAATTTGTCCACCTTTCGTGAAACACCCTGTAACCATCTCCGTAAGCCAGTTTTGGATTTTCTGAATATTTGTGCAATTCACAACATACGTTCAACGTAAAATTAAAAATGGTATTGTAATTAATAAAATTTTCACTGGCACTACACCGTGACTAGCATCAACGCTGCTACTGGCCGGTCTAGCGGTCTAGTCAGAAAACGCATTGGATTCGAAGTCAAATCTAAATCCAAGGACGCCATTTTGTTTTATGTCGTTTTTCTTTTATTCGCGTCGCTGTTGTCACCTTGTCTCTGCTGCCCGAAAATGCCGAACTTTATTCTTGTTCACTATGATGACGACATTTCCGAGGTAGTTCCGATCGGCTATGTAAAGAACAAGGAAGCAGAGAATGTCAGGAAGCACGGAAAATATAAAATCGCGTGGTGTGTAGACATCAGCTTGAAGAATCAAGAACCACCGGAAGGTGCGAAGTATTACAAGGGAGTAGTGCTGCAGTTGATTGGTGAGTTGCTCTGTTTTATTTCTTCATTCTTGCTATAGCATTGTGCCACAGTGCTTGTTGGTCCACGCCGATCTTTTGCGTGCACCTTCCTCACGCTAACTGGGCTGTTTTTGTCTAGGGTTGGATCTGTTGTAGCTAGGGTGTCTTCATGTGCGTTCCTAGTAGCCATTGTCGGCAGAAACGTGGAAGCGCTTTTTTTTTTCTCTCTCTCTCTTCTTGCCTCTGTTGCGGGAACGCTGAATTTCGCCGGTTAACAACGTACACAGTCGGCTCTCTCCGATCACTGCCACTGCCCACCTGAAAGTACGGGGGAAAGGAGAAGGAAAGGGAGAAAGGGGGGGGGGGGCGCGCGCGGCGGCGGGTGGGTGGTGGGGGGGGGGGGGGGGGGGGGGAGCTAGAAACTTCTTAATTTTTAATTGATATGCACGAAAGAAAAAAAAACGCATGCGGCATCGCGGATGCTCTTGTGTAATTGCGGTATTGTTGACGTTGTGTTGTGCTTTTGTCCTCATTTTTTTGCTACCTAGTATGGTTACCTGATTCCCCATCTATTTTAAACATGTTATAGACACACTCAAAGAAGCCCAGAGCATCAGGAGCACCAGGATTGCTGAAGTTTCTGCAGCTGGGGAGAAAGAAAGTGCCAAGACACTTGGAAAGGTATGTTCCTCGCTTTGGTAGGAACATGTGTTACATGTTTCTACCAAACAATCTCCAAGATTGTTTGGTAGGAAAATGTAACACATGCTCTGCCAGGCGCCAGACACCGAAACTATAAGTACAGCATTTTGCAATATGACAACCCACCTGGTGTGCGTGGCCGAGACAGTGGCTGGCGGGGAAGCTGCGCGGCTTTTATAAATTCCATGTTGCCCTGAGAAAAGGACAAGTCTGTTGGAGAGATCGGTGGCCGAGTGTGTCAAGGTCTATTCACACGAGGCTTCTTGTTGGCGAATTCTGTGTCGCAAAACTAGATTTCGGGCAACAAATTCTCTGTCTGAACGCAACCGAAAAAGTGGCGCGGCTCCGAAAAAAGTGGCGCGTGTTCCTCGCTTCTAGAGCAATTTTTCGCTGAAACCTCACCGACGCCTGTCAATCACCCGAAAGAGAAACGTGGACGCTGCCAATGGCCGCCCGACTTCGCTATTACGTCTGACCTTCGAGCAGGAGCGAGCTTTTGGAGGAGTTTGATTTTTGGCCGGTTCCGTATCAGAGCCGAAGCCAAAAGAAAACAAACAAACATGGTGAGCGACAAGTGGAGAAGCGGTGCGTTCGGGCGACGAGTCTTGGTCTTACTCGGTTGCAGGTGTGTGAACGGCGCCTACAGTACGGGTTGGTGGCGCGGTGCAGAATCAATAACAGTCGCGACAAGTGCAAGTACCGCATATAAACATGATGACTGGGGATAACATTCTTTATTAGCGGTGCGAAAATGTCAGAAATGTTTGGAGATCTTCTGCCTGTTCTGTGACGTTCGCAGTTTTTCTCGGGTTTGGCAGGACTAGTAAACCCAGTGAGCCGAATCTGACGAAGTTTATTGAGTGGTATTAATAAAACAGACTGTTTCTTCATACTGTGGGTGCTTCATATCATTTTGATGCGAAACGCTTGGTGATACCGGTGCAGATGACAAGGATTGGCGAAATTCTCGTGAGTCAATACGTCGCAGGTTTCGCGCGTCAAACTCCACGTGTCAACAAGCCGATTTCGCGAAATCTTGGTTACGCTAAACTGTGGCACGTTGAAAAGATGCATCGTCTGAATAAGCCTTTAGCACACAAAAGCTCGGAGCACATGGAGCAAAACCTTGCATGGCAGAACCCAGGTATGGTAATTGTCAGTACTGCATAGTGCGCACCATGCAGACTCTGGGGCAGCATTTGTACCGCACTGGCTAAATTTGTCAACTGCAGCGTAAACCAGCGTCGCCTTACACTGGGAGGCTGGGCTTACGCTGTCTAAACGCTAGTGTCCAATTTGCTTTGCTTTTGACAAGTCGCTTGGCTGAGCCGGCATGCACGGCTTTTAATTTTGGTTTGGTGGAGGAGTGCTCGTTACTCACATCATGCCTGTGAATATTGTGAAGAAGTCTCAAAACATGCCCGGTCATCTCATGTTTTTTATTATTTTCTGGTGCCCCGTTATGTAGGTCCCTAGAGTGGCTAATATGGTGCTAACCCTATTTGTATATGATTCATAGTTTTGACATTAAAGGGGCTTTGCAAAGACTTTTTTAGTGGTTTTTGGTTTGTACCGAACCTGAGCACACTCAATCTAGTAACTTGATGAAAGTTTTCTTTTCACGAATTTCGCTTTATTTAAAAAGTTATAGGCAAAGTAAAATTACGAAAACAAGCAAAAAATAACCTCCTTCAAGGCATGCCTGGTTGCTTGAGTGGCCGCAAACTAGAGGTAAGCTCAGCGAGCGCTCACGGCTGCCGCACTGCGTGTCGACAACTCGAGAGGGTGCCACTAAAGCATATTTTGAATAGGCTGTATGAAGTGGGCGGCCAGGGCGGTTTGCATTGCATTTGTTGCGCGATTAAAGACTAATTCGGCATGACACTTCATTGGCCACAAACGACAGCAAACACGGGGTAAAGATCAGTTCAGAACGGAAGGCACTTCGCGCTGCCATACGGCCAAACCACAATCCAAACCTGCTCGCTGACAGCCTATGGAACGCTCGGAACCGGTCGGATCCTCCAGCCCGTATATGACCGCAGCTCCGCCGCAAACATCCGGGACCTTTCTTTGCTCGCCGCTCGTCGGTGCCTCATCCCACTACCCCTTTCTAGTATGCGCCGCCTTCTCCACCACTTGGTGGCGGGTATGTCGACGGGGCATTTCTTGTTTCCGTACTTTATAAACTGCATTTGTTTCTTTTCTGATCTAAAATACTGAACAAAAACCACTTTCATACATAATTGAAGCGCTTTGCGCCACTTATATTTTGTATTTCGACCGAAAAGAAGCTTTTAGGAGCTCTGATTAGTAGTAAGCCTGGAACCAAAGACTAAACATATCGCGCGCTTTAAGCACCGCGGGTGGCCCCCGTAGGTGGAGGAGGTTTCCGCGTCATCCGGTTAAAGTATTGTGCACTGATATTTAGTTACTCTCTTCGTGCCCGCTGGCTTGCCCGAGCCACAAGAGATGTGCAAACCGCAAAAAAGGTAGACACTAAATATAATTGCAGGCCCCTTCAAGCAACTGTTGCTTGTATGTGAGACAGGGTGTATATGAACAGTTGGCTGCAAAATGTTTTCGGGACATGAGAGTGCCAGCTGGAACGCATCGCTGCGCCGCCTCGTTGACCGCTGGCTGGTATCAACACCCACGCATTGCACATGTGCGGCTCATACTAGCAGGCATGCCCTCTTCCCTCGTCGGACAATGTCAGACGGAACCCAGGGGTCTAGCGACCGGGAAAACCGAGAAATGTCAGGGAAATTTTGGTTACCGGGAAAAATGAGGAAATTGTCAGGGATATTGTCAAAAAGCAAGCCCAGTCCGGGAAAATGAGCTGGAAACGCCATTGAGTGCCTTGAGCAAAGACTTGAGGACTTGGGGGCAGAAAAATAGGCAATAAATTCTGCTTAGAGCAGAGTGCAGACTCTGCTCACCCGATGTAGAGTGTGCTACCCGACGTAAAGGGAACAGCCGACAAATCCAGTCCAAGTCTTGGATTGCATGAGATTGAGGGCGCGACACTAGGCTAGATCCAGTTAGAGCTACTAGATTTAGCAACAAATGGGAAAGCCGCAGACCCCAATCCAATCCAATTCTTAAGCCGAAAGTATCTGAAAGTGTTCTGGCGGCCATGCTGCCTGCCTGGAGCTGAGCCGGTTGGTATGACATTATTCTGAAGGTTTCCAGCTGAACGTAGAAGTAAAACCAAGGAGTGGAGAAAACCAGCAGTGTGTCTCTTTTTCTCCACTCTTTGGTTTTACTTCTATGTTCAGCTGGAAAGCTTCAGAGCCATGCTGCCATTCGGTTATTGACGTGTGTGGCTGAGCATCGTCTTTTCATTGTGTTTCTGGAAGTGGCCTCTTCATTGGCGATGTCGGCAAGACAGTGCTCGTTTAATCTAGACTGGACGAACCCGAATATTTCGGAATATGCAAGTTGGATTAAGTCCGTGCAAAATGATCCCCACAGTGCTCAATGCTCAATGTCTTGTGTTGCAATGGCTTTATATATTTAATTGCCTCTACATCGGTCAGGGAATTCCACCTGAAAATGTCACGGAAAACTTGGAAAGGTCAGGGAATTTCAAAATATTAATTTGCTAGACACCCTGGAAGAGGACATGCCTGCTAGTACGAAGAGCCACGCATGCTCAATGTGCAGGTCTTGATACCAGGCAGCGGGCCACAAGGCGGCGCAGCGATGCATTTCGGCTGTCGCTTCCATGTCCTGAGAAATTTTGCAGTCAACTGTACTTGAACACCCTGTCTCACATAAGAGTAACAGTTGCTGAATGTAAAGGCTATGAATTGTATACAAATAAGGTTGGCACCATATTAGCCACACTCTAGGGAACTATTTAATGGGGCACAAAGCATTTATGGTAATTAATTTGTTTAATTGTTTTGCATGATTATCTTAATTATTAGTCATAAGCACAAAGTTCCAGTTATAAACTTGCTGGGCATAATCAAAAAACACTCGACTAGGCAGTTTTAGAAAGATTGGGATTGTGTGTGAAGCTTACCATGTTAGATGCAGGCACAGGGTTGGTGGAGCGAAAAAGCGGATGATAAAAAACGAAACTTTTGCGGGCGTGGCGCATTTTCATGACCCGGAAAACCGGTACACATGTATTTTTACTAATTGAAGTTACCAAAGATATCTTTGTTAATTAGGTACCTAATTGCACAAGCAACCTTTTAATAGTGGCCACTAGTTTGGGCAAGCTGAAGGCATTATTGAAAGTGCCCTAATGCCAGTTCCCTTGTTTTAATATGTTTGTTTGTCTTGGAAGGAACATTGAGTATATTACGCACAGATTTGCATGCGTGCCCTACTGATTCTTGCGATTGCTGGCTATCACTAACCATCCTGGGCGAACACTCTTGCCATGATGAAGCATAAAATTCATGCCACCATTCTAAAGAGCGAATGCACTTTTTAATGCACGAGGTCTTTCATATATAGGCCATCAGTATGAGTTTATGTTTGTTAGACAGTCTCATTCTGACATTTTCACCATATAATACTGGCAAGAAACATGTGATGCCTATGCTTGTTTCTATATTTCTTGACACCAAATTGATTGGTGTGGTCAAAGCAGCTTAACAAAATTATGTACTGTAAACAACTTATTTTTCGTGGGCTCAATATTTCGCGATTGAGGTCAAAGCTGAAGTTTTGGAATAATTCAGGAGCTCTAATTTTCGCGACGCGGTGGGATTTCAGTATAGATTCCAATGTGTTTACATTTTACCGGGATTGTTCGCGGGACCTATTTTTCGCGAATTGTAGGTGATTCGCGAAATTCACAAAAACTAGGTCTACGCGAAAATTAAGTTGTTTACAGTATTAGGTTTCGCAAAGAATAGCACATACATTAATTGTTATCAGTGTGCTCATCTGAAAATTAATATGGCATCTGTCCTTTCTCTTATTGCAGACTCAAAAGGCCAATGCAGCTCTTGGCCAGGTGACAAACTGGGACGAGATCCTGAAAGCCCACAACAAGGAAGTACGAAAAAATCCAGCTTTTGCGGGTGGAGACCTACCTGTGCCAGCTGGGGCCTCTGATGATGAGGTAAGAAATGCAGTAATTGCCTGTCCAAAGTGTTTCTCCAGGCACGGCAGCTAACTCACTGAAATACTCTTGTTAATTTTATGACTCTCAGAGCCCGGGGCATACTATTGCAGGGGGAAAGGGGGGGGGGGGGTGCCTGTACTATCACGATCAATATAAGGGCAAACACCGCTTTGCGTGGTCCGCGGTACTGTCAGTGCGCCCTGGCAATTGCTCTTTGAAGTAGAAGTGCACATTGCAATTGAGACATGTCGTCCCCAGTGGCAGCCACGCCACACTGCACTTCTGGTCGTCTGCTCGCGAAAAACGGTCAACGAAACCGTGAAACTGTTTACCAAGGACGAAGCAGATTTTTCACTAACAATGTGCGCCAGCAGAAATAACAAGTATAAATATTTTTAGGGTCATCTTTTTGATTAGGAATTTTGGTAGATTATTCCCATTACTCCAATAACGACAACCGATACTTCGCCGACGCCTTAAACCATGCATCATATTGCTATTGAAGATATCAAAACAATCAATTAAGACTGCTTATTATTTCCTCTGTGTGAGTTTCGCGAGAGCAAAGAACCACCAATGCACACAGGCAAGATGTTTATGTGGTGCGAGCATGGGTGATACGCTTCATCGTGAAAAACGGGGCAAAAAAAAAAAAAATGACAAGGACATTTTGTGTGTTTCTTCTACGTCATCGTCGTTTATTTCGCGCTGTTTGCCATGAAGCGTATCACCCAAGCTCGCACCGCACCAGGGTTGGGCGGTATCGCGATACAAATCTATCGCGATAGTATTTCAGGAACACATATCGTATCTGTATTTCTGTATCGCGATACATTTTTTTCACCAGTATCTGTATTGCTGTATCGAAATACATTATGAATGTTCCTTTGTATCGCGATACAATCAGGGTGAAATGTATTTCGTTACCTTTCTTGAGAAATACTCCCCCCCTCCCCCCCCCCCCCCCCCCCCCAAAAAAATACAAATCCGAACACATTTTTTTTTTTTTTTTGTTTCTGAGGGCACTAGGGTCAAGGAGATGCTGAGGCATTGTTACCCTACTGACCAAGGTTCCTTCCGATTCTCCAAACTCTTTTTCTATGCGTGCTCTTCTCTCTTCTGAGAACTGTTGTGTAGTCGGGGACTCGAACCAGGTGGCGGGCCAGGAGTGGAGTTGGAGCATTTTCTGCCGCAGGTCCTTAGGCAGGAGTTTCTTGAGTCATTGTTTGCTGGCATCCAAAGCCCGCTGCTAACCGTCCCTCTCGCCTTGGCGTACACAGTACACCCAGCCGACAAAGCTGAGTCACAGTCCGCTGCAGCACATGCCTGGTGGTGGTTGACTTCAAATCGTAGGATGACTTACGCTGTGAAGTTTCACACATATTGGAATCCGTTTGCGGCTGCGCCTGTAATATCGTACGGCTCAAGGATACGTCATCAGCCGACATGAACGTGACCCGCTGTTCTGGTGATCCGAAACCCAGGAAGGAGGCCATACATGGCCTCGCTGTGCCGACCCAAACTTCGTACACCTGTGACTCGTCTTGAGCGCACTGTTTCTCGGAGAGCTCACACCTGTGCTGGCAATATCAGGTTGCAATCCACAAGGTCTTTATTTGGAGTATGCAAGACGAAACTTGAGGACTGCAATCCATGCGTCGGTGGCAGAAGGTCGGCAGGAAGGACCTTCACAACAGGGATGCCACCATATTGTTTTTTCAACCGTAACAGAAGATAAGACATGTGTTCCAGGGTGCTTCAGGTGGTTCGCTATTCTTGAAAATTCCAAATGACACTGCCTGCACAATCTTCAACGAGGTAACCTACAACGAAAGCACATATGTATTGTCCTTTCATACAGCAGCGTGGTAAAGTGTCATGTTCAAGGCCACACCTACAGATAAAGAATACCAGTTCATTCCGCTGTGACGTCGTGTGATAAATGTTGACAGGGGCGTGGTGACGTTTTGATGGGATTTAGGATGACACAGAATTTATTTAGAGGTCGAAGTCCTTTCGCATTCCTTGTCAGACAGACAGAATGTCAGGGAGGGGACCGCAGTCAATCCTTGATGGAACGTTTTTTCGAGTCCATTGAGAATACCTTGTCGTCCGAAGTCACTACCTTCAAGGCAAAGTGCCAAGCCTTCGGGAAAGTAATTTCAGGATCAAAAACTTCCACTTCCAACTTCAATCTTCATCTCATTTGGCGTCTCAAACAAATTCGAAAAATGTATTGCAGTATCAGTATTTCTGTATTTGTATTTCTGCCCTCCCTAAAATGTATTCCTGTATTTGTATTTCTAAATACTTTTTGCCTCTATTTAAAATGTATTTCCAATACGTATCGTAATACACTTTTACAGATATAGGTATTTGAGTATCAGTATTTCAGCTACTATTTTAATGTATCCCAGTATTTGTATTTCCAAATACATTTTTGAGTATTTCTGCCCAACCCTGCACTGCACTAACTTCTTGCCTCTGCTTATTGGTGATCCTTTGCTCTCGCAAAACTCACTCGAAGGAAATAATAGGCAGTCTTAGTTGATTCTTTTGATACCTCCGATAACAATATAATGCATGCTAAAAGGTGCCGGCGAAGTATCGGATATTTTTATCAGAGTCATAGAAATAATCTACTAAAAATTCCTTAAAAATATTTAGACAAGTTATTTCTGCTGGCACACATTGCTAGCGAAAAATGCGCTTCATCACTGGTGAACAGTTTCGTGGTTTCGCCGGGCGACCGTTTTTCACTAGCAGATGAACCGAAAGTGCAGAAGAGTGGTGCGGTGATCGCTAGAGTTGATGTCTCGACCGCAAGGTGCACTTATACTTCAAAGAGAAATTGCCCGGGGGCACTGATAGTACCGCGGGCCACGCGGAGCGGTGTTCGCACTCATATTGATCGTGATAGTACCACGAAAGACGGCAAAAGCTAAAGTGTAGATAATGATAACGAATTGGGCCATACGCAGAAATCATTGTGTAGTTGTAACAGTAATGTTAAAAATGTTGCGCGCCATGCTTATTGCGCGTGAACATGGTTGCAGAGCACAAGCATTCGTGCTCGCGCTCCGCTGCAGCGGCCGAGAGCCGAGTGGCACGTCACACCACCTGTGCTTGCGGCGCGTGAAGTCGGGAACAGAGTGCGAGGATTTGCGCTCTTAGGTTGTCTACAATGGCACGCAACAAGCTAAGCGATGAAGAGTGCCATGAAAGACGACAATGTGCAAAAAAGGGGAAACGCTATGCCTAACGAAAACAGCAGCGAGGCGCGAAACCAGTAACATTTCACATGTCACATGCTCATTTTCTTCAGTATTGGCATGGGCCTTAGTTGCACCTGGTCTGCAAATTTTGATGTTTTCCACCCTTCTATATTTTATCACCATGGGCGTCGCTGATAATGGCAGGGGGCGAAAGAGGAACCCAGAAGTGTTGGAAGTCAAAACATCTCAATCTCTTTTTAAGGCATGTTTATAGGTTCTGTAATTCAAATGTCTCTAGTAAATGTGCATATGCAGTGATGTGTCTGTCTTAATTCTCTTTTTTTGGATCATTACCCAGAACGCTGATGAGATGGCCAAACTTCGCGAGAAGTACAGGAAAGCGAAGAACAAAGTTCGAAGATTAAAAGAAGAGCTGCAGACCGTCACAGAGCTGAACAGGGACCTCCAGAGGGCCCTGGTACGGAAAGAAGGTGTGTGCTAAATAATAGACCCTTTCAGGAATTGCTGCTGGCAACTGCAGGAAGCTGTGTTTGATGATGTTGGCAACAGGCAACACTGGCTGGGCCACCATTAGCATTTAACTGTCTCTACCGCGGGTGCTGTTAATGCTGCTGCTGATAGTCTTGTATGGAGCAGAAGTTTGACTGCAAGTACTATCACAGATGAGGCTTATTTATTGACTACGTTGAAAAGGTATACCAACATCCTTTCTCCCTTACAACAAGCAATGTTAACCGCCAGTGCTGTTCAGAACCAAATGCGTCCCCAGAATCTACGAGTTGTCATCGCTCGAAAGTGTGACATTTCTACATGGGTCACTCAATGATTGCACTGGGTGTTTACCCTAATGTCCCATTCACACTGGAAGTGGACCCAAAAAACGTGAAGGGATCCACAGGTTTACAGCTGCAAAAACGGTTGGAGCATGTTTTCAGAATTGCTCCGGTACCGATTTTTCAGAACCGCCTTTGCTGACCATGAAGCTGTTGGCAAAAGCTCACCAATAGCAACTCAATGCTGTCGTGATGCTGGCACTAGTGTGGTGTTGGCACTAGCTAGTTTTGATTAAACTTCTTCCCTTCGTTCTAAACGTTTGTGTGACTAGCGTCTTGCTTTGAGATTCATTCAAGGTGAGGCAGTGGCTGAGCGTTTTAGGCCTAGCGTCTGAAATGCAGCAGCAGCACAACTGGAGCAGGCAAACAAGCTGGCAATCTGGTGAAATAGATTCAGAAGGAAATTTGTGAGACAAAATCAACACAGCCCTCATCTGTTCCTTGCTCACTGATTCCGAGAGCTTCCTGCTGCGGGTGTTTGTTTTACATACAGGGTGTCGGAAAAAAAAATTTACAAGTTTTTTTTTTACCGCAAATATAAACTAGGCATCGCCGAACGCTCATTCTTCACCCAAAGGTGGCGCTAGAGGTCACAACCAATGCAAAAGTTTCAGCCCAATCCGATACCATATTCAAAAGTTATTAGTGCTTTTCTGAAAAGTGCAATTGCAAAATGGCCGCCAACGGAGTTTTTGAATTCATGGGGCTCTATGGCACCCAAAACCGAAAATGGGCAAAAATGGGCTCCATTTTTCCATTGAAATTTTCAAAAAATCACTTATAACTTTTGAATAAGGTATCGGATCGGGATGAAGCTTTGGCATCTGGTTGTGACCTCTAGCGCTACCTTTGGGCAGAGAATGAGTGTTCGGCGATGGCCTAGTTTATATTTGCAGTAAAAAAAAAAACACTGTAAATTTTTTTTTTTCTTTTGTGACACCCTCTACATTTGTTGGACTGCTTCCTGCTAGCGTAATGATGCACAACTTCTGCCATGGCCAACAACTGTCAATCAGAAGGCTCGGTGTGCTTGCAGTAAGCGGGTTCTATGGAATGCGACAGTCTGGAAACATTTAGTGGTTTTAGGCTGAACCAATCAGCTGCCAGCCTTGTGCTAGGTGTGCTGCTCTCCCTGTGCACCTGGAGGCAGGCAGTGCAGTCATGCTGCTCAAAGATGGTGGGCGGTTGCTTGAGCTGTTGTGGGATCATTGTCCCACTGTCAGCTTTTAGTGCACCAACACACGATACGTGACACTGCTATGCCCTGTGGTGATTAATGTTATACATTTTTGACAGAACAAGTCAGGGCAGTAGCGCCAGTTGCCATACCTGCTCCTGCACCACCTCCTGTGATGGAAAGGGCCGCACAACCAGCTGCAGCCTTTGGCCCAGTGGCAGCTCCTGTGGCTGCTGAAGCATTCGCTGCAGCAGGCTCCAGTAATGAGCCTATGTACGAGCTGCTGACATACACTGAAGAGGGTGATATGGTAAGTTGATTCAGTAATTGTTAGTTTCATAAGATATTTGTGGATGGGAGGCTTTTTTATGTTAGCAGGAAGTTTTCATTATTGGAAGTCTGGGCCTATTGAACGGCACTGACCATTTTTCACTGACCATGTAGGAAGTGCTAAAATTTGCACGTCAGGAATATATTTAGGCACCATCATGACAAATTATTCCTTGGTTTTGCAGCAAGACACCAGCATTGGCACAACCCAGTGCATGAAAGTCATAATGTTGTAGAAAACATTCAGAAGCTAATTAAACTTTGTAGGTAATCTAGACCTGTTCCCATAGCATTCTGTGCAAATTCATTGGACATTAAAGGGTAAATGGTTTAAAGGCATACTGAACCGAAATTTCGAGCTCACAAGACAAGGCTGAACGCTGCAAAACCCGAAAACATCATACAGCGATATCTCTAACGGATCGCCATATTTTTGGGAAAGACGTGCACGATTGAACATGGCCGACGAGCCTGACGAGACAAGGCACGTCACGATTCTCATTCCTTCTCCTTCTCGCTACGTCCCGTCAAGCTGGTGAACCGAAACGAGGAGAAGAGAAGCCAAGGCGCTTCTCCTCATTCTCAAATTCTCGAAGGACAATTACGTCAAAGACCGCGCTTGATCGCACCCTTCTTTTCCAAAAGTATGGCCATCTGTTTGAGGTATAGATGTATGAGTTATGTTCTAGAGTTCGTAGTGTCCCGTTCAATGCTTCTGCAACCTCATTTTGCAATATCCAAATTTTGGTTCAGTATCCTTTTAAGCCTCACATTTTTCATTAATGATACTATTTGACTTCTGCAATTCTTTCTACATTTGTTAGGCGCGTGCAAGCGAAACTTGTGCGTCTTTGGAGTATCAAGGGAGCTTCCTTTTTGTTTCTAGTCTGCCCTCTGTTGCTTTGTTACTTAAGGTGAATTCATGTGGTCAGTGTTCAGCAACTTTTTTGCCAAACACCCAGCAACAGCATTGGTGTGGTCACGATACGGCGGGTGCAATGCGTTCGGGTGGCGGTTTTTGGGCAAGCACAGGCATCTTTCTCATACTTTTTCTGTCCAAGCTCCAAACAACCTGGCCAGCAGGCAACCACACTATATCCGGTGTCCTCATGTCCAGATTAGGAAAGGAGATTAGTTAAGGAAATCAACAAACGAGTGAAATGGATCCAGTGTCTGTTGGTAGCTGTTGTGCAGGGACACAGTGCAAGCAATGCACGCGAAATGATGCACATCGGTGGCGGCATCAACAATGGCCTCCCATATTTGTATCATTGATGTTGGGGCCATAAATGGTCTTGCTCTTTTTTGCCTTTTGCCCAGAGGCAGTATGATGCAAAGCACTAGAGGAATTCTATGAATATCCAGTGCTTCAGTATTAGGGGGCAACTTGTGCTACCTAGGAATGATCGTGCCACCGTCCAGCATTTCATGCTCCGGTGGCGAGGGTCACATGGTCTGCCGTCGGCGCAGTTCTGATTGCGTTTAGTTTAAATAGGCAGCGACAAATTATCACTTTGGCAACCTTCCTACCACAGGAAATAGGTTATGAAACCATGGGCAATATGTGACCGTCATTTACCTTTAAAATACCTAAAATAACTGAAAAGCATCACAAAAAGCACCAGTAAGCGATGGCGAAATAGCCAAGAACAATACATGCGACATGCCGACGGGTGCGTGAGCCCGCCAGGTGAAGGCAGCCGCCGAGCCTGCAGGGTTCATTGGCTCACTCGCTGCCAAAAGAAATGGAGAAAGGCCGCATGCTTGGATCGCATGTTTGGGGGAGCCGACGAGTGTGACTGCAGCATGCTCTGGACTTTTACGTTCTGTGTGCTTTTCGGTAGTGCTCAAATTACATCGTTTGCACCATCGAAACCATCTGAAACAGAAAAACACGACCTCTGAACGTGCCCGTGGTCGCAGCAGTTCTCAGGAAATCCTCTGCCGCACTTGCAATCTAGAAGCTCGGTCGCATTTCCAATGCAGTGGTTTGACACACCATCATTTCTGCTTTTATTTGAGAAAGTCCCCCCCCTCCCCATATTTGTCACACCCCTTCAAAAATTGACACAATTTTCAGGAAAATTAGGGTGTTAATAGGGCAAGGAAATATGGTATGTTGTCCTCTAATGCCAAAGAACAAAATAAGTATGTTTGCAGAACCACTTTCTAAAAATGTTTTTACATTCCTTTTAGCACACTAAACCGTTTTCTGACCAGTCAGGATAGCTGCCTCAGGTTTGATATGTACCAAGTACTAAATAGGATTTCACTGCTTGTTCTTTCTTACATGTCTTCTTTGTAAAAGAAAGAAAAAATAGTTTGGTGCTCACAGCTGCAGTGATTGTTTTTGTTATTATGTATATTTATAGATTCCTTTGACTGTAAAGTGCTCCAGTTTGCTCTGACATTCCACTAGGGTATCATAAATACAGTAACCACTTCGCATAAATCAGCATTGCACGGAGAGCAGCTCTTTGGTTTTCACCAGGCACCTTTGTTTTGCCACCTCTTTTAATGTTTTACAGATGAACTTCACTGATGTGGGAGTTAAACTCCAGAGAAAAGCATGGGACAGCGCCATGGATCCAAAGATTGGGTCAAGTCTGGCCATCAAGAACCTGGCCACGTCCGTGTGGGGCTCGGACGTGCTGCTGACAAGGACCGTGACGGGAGTGCCATCAAATGCGAACAAGGAGAAAGAGTCGAGGCCACCTTTAACGCCCAAGAAGGTGGCATTCTTAAGAGGTGAGGGCAAATCACCTGACACAATTTTAATCTAAACAGTAATCCTGTAATTTTTTTTCCTAATTAATGCCTCGTCTGAGTAGTTGGATTGTATTGTAGTGACGTGATTAATTTGTAGAAATGGCAGCAGCTCTTTCCTGCATGTCACAGTGGTGAATAGTTCAGTGCCATAGCTTAATGTGTATGTGCCATTTTGTGCCAGTGACTCGTATAAAGGCCCATTCACACTCTTGCGACCGAGTGAGACCGAGAGAGACCCGACCGGTTTTTAAACCTCTTGCAATCTCTTAGGACCAGCTCTGCGCTGCACCGCATCCGGTCCTAAGAAGTGGCAAAAGGCTTAAAAACCGGTCTGATCTCTCTCTGTCTTACTCGCTCGCAAGTGTGAACGGCGCTTAATTTTTAACCTTGTTAATGACTCTGAGTTACTCTTTGCTGAGCTCAGCACCAGCATTTAATTTTTTTTTTTTTGGCTTGCTCTGGAATAAAGATCATAAAATAGTCTAGATGAAAAAAGTCCAGCGTCTTCCCATACATTTCGGCCAGTTGGGAACAGCAGATCAGTGCACATGCAATGCCACGATCAGGTCAATACTTGTGGTTAATGTAACTTCAACACAAGGGGGGGGAAAAAAAGAAAAGGTTTGTGTATGTTTATACAGCCTAGAACTTAGTTTGCCTCAGCAGGCAGCTTGTCTCCCAGCTGTAGATAAGAAATTTGGCCAGTGCAGTACAACCACTAGCCTGGGCCTTTAACGTGCACCAGACAGTTGTGATGCACGTCCGCATGCTGGTACGATGCTCATCCAGATCAAAACGGTTAGGGATGGTGATTGAACCCAGGATCTGTGGGTTCTGCAGCTCTAGCTTTCGCTTCACGTTCTCCGAGCTGGTGTGCACTAGCCCACTCGGCCACCGATAGCAAAACACAGCTGTAGCTGTTTTGAGACTTTGTTGTGTTTGTCCCTTTTTGTTTCCCAATTGTCTCGGGTTAACTTTAACCATGATCACCCACCAGCTCGCCTGGTCCTTAATGCTAATTTCCATATTTGTGTCTTTAGCTAATTACAAAAGCTTATAATCAGCAATGGATACAGAATTGCTCCTAATTTGCATACTTTATAGCAGCTCAAACGACCTCTTTGTAGTTTGGCCTGCTGTGACCAAGCGGGTTTTCGGGTTGAGATCAGGCTTAAACGAGCTGGACATTGAATGTTTAAGCCTTTCTGTTCCTTTGAATATCTTGTCACATGTTTTTCAGAGTGCCTCATCAAAAAACTTCACGGGCAAGCGATGCACCCAGAGGTGATTGCAGTTCAAGCCACCACCACCAGGGTGAACAGGGTACTCGGTGAAAAAATAAACGATCTCAGACGCCGGGACAAGCGTCTGACTAAGGACTAAATAAAAACAAGACCAGCCGGTTCGTGGCAATGGCTCAATCAAATATGGCAGTCAAGCATCCATTTCCCGCAGGCCCCACACAGATCGCCCACAGAGCGTAGGATTATGAAACCATGTGGGTCACCCACATGGTCTCCACAGTCCTGTAGGTCTGCGGGCCCCACAGGCTATGCGGAGACCTGTAGGGACCCACAGAAACCATGCGGGGACCCATAGGAACCCGCACCCGCAGAAACTATGTGGGGACCCATAGGGACCCACAGACCTGCAGGCACTATGCGGGGACCCATACACCCACACAATTTCTGTGGGACCCACAGGTTTCATAATCCTACAGGTCTGCGGGTTTTTGGAGCGGGGTCTGACGTGACTGCACCTTGCCCTGGCAAAACATCTCGAAACGGCTGGCTCATTCGTGCCGCTACCACCACCTAGGCTACTTCGCAGTAAGCCTGACGCAGCATGCTTGCAGAAATATTGTGCAAACCCAGCGCCACCTAGGCGACTATGCCGTAGTTTTAACGCCACCTGTCTCATCGCTTTGCCACAAGTCTTTTCTTGCTTTTGGATAGGTGGCGCCAAAAGAGGCATGTTTGTTTTGTGCAAGAAGAATAGCGTGGCGCCGGGAGTCGTCCGTTCTCGCCGCGTGATGAGAATAGTTCACGCTTCGCTTACCGTATTCGTGCAAATATGGGTCGCTGATGCGTGGCATATTGTAAAGGAGGCTACGATAACGGGCCAAAGGTACGGCTATTCTCTTTTCCGAGCGACTCCGTACGAAGAACGCAATGGCAGCGTGCCGTGCGGCGAGACAACGTCGACGTGTTGACTCTGAAGGATCCAAAGGTAAGCAGTGGCTTGTTTTTCTTTCCTTATGCATACTAGGCAGTTATGCGCAGGGCAGTTGTTCGAAAGTAAGCGAGAAGGTTATAAATTACCCTGCACATTATGTTAAAAGTTAGCGGTCGTACCTTTTTGACCCATGCTTTGGCCCGTCTTTCCTTTGTTCGGCGTTATCGAAATTTTGAAATCGGCACCGATAGCGAATGCTGTTTGAGTACAAACAAATATTTGAATGTGCGTACACCAATGCTTCATCGGCAGAACAAATTCTTTTATGCACTAATACCAGACGATATAGACGTGGTTTTGGCAGCACAGTAGCCGATATTGCGCCAGGCCAATATTACACGTACGCGCATGACACGATGCATTATTTGCTAACATTACTGTGTTTTTGTGGTCGTATGTGCAGGTTTGTGAACGCCATTTCAAGCCTGAGCACCTGCGCACGATTTCAACGTGCAATCGGCACGGAATGAAACCCGAACGCCGGAACGCGTGGCCATCGATACAGGCTGCTCCACCTGGAGGGCCCCTGAGAACTAATGAAAATGCACCTGGGTGCGAGGGTGCGGGTCCTACTAAGATATCCACAACCCTCGCGATGGGCGTCTGGGACTTTCGCGTTTCGCCGTTGGCGCGCTGTAACCGCCGTCACTCGGGGTGCTCTTCTGTCGCCGCACTGTCGCCCGGTCGACACCGGGCGGCCGCTTAACCTGGCTATAGCTGTTTGCGATAGGCCCTGCTCAGACAGGGTAATGAATTTATTCCACTCCGGAATTGGTACGCCTGGCATATCGGTGGTTACCGAAGAGAACCTCAGCGAGCAATTTCTCGATTTTTTTAAGAATCGACTGATAACCTCGCACGAAAAAATGCGCATTGCTCATAAAACCGAGGCATCCGCGTCGGTCTGTTGTAGCATTTTTTTTTTCATAAAGAATATGGGTGTGCGAATAAACGAAATTTATTTCGCGTTTATGACGTTTCATTATTTCTCAGAAACCGCGCGTGGCACGTTGTTTCCGGTGACACGTCATCGAGCACTACGGGTCTTTTGTGCACGAAATCTTTTAACTTTAATTTCGCCCTTGCGATACACAAAGTGATAATGAATGACAGTGCTGAAGAGATATTGCTGGGCATCCGATACACAAAGCGAGTGACAGTGCTTTTTGTATCGAATGTGGTGGCGCTTACAGCGCGCCACCGGCGAAGCGCGGAAATCCCAGACGCGCCGATGGTCGGGCTCATCTTAGTAGGCCCCGCACTCTCGAACCCCGGTGCACTTCCATTAGTTCTCAGGGGCCCTCCAGGTTGAGCAGCCTGTATCAGCGGCCACGCGTTCCGGCGTTCGGGTTTCATTTCGTGCTGATTGTACACGGATGGCGACGAACGAACAATAGAAGTACCAATAAAGTTAACTCGTATTACGGCTGACGCTGTTCCGGCTATCTTCCCCGATTGTCCAAGTTATCTCTCTTCTACAAAGCAGTCACGAGAAGAACCTGATGTGAAGAGGAGGCGCAGTGAAAGCTTTCACACAGCCATCCAGCAATCCACGGCAGCGTTTGAGAAGGAAGAAGTAAACAACAAATTGGAAAATTTGGAAGGCATTTCTTCGCATTTCTACCGTTTTCACAGCAAAAGCTTCTGGACGCATGTTTCCAGTGACTTAACTGCATCATATTTGCTCACCTTGAGCCTACAACGCAAGCACCTGAGCTCCTGGCATCAGTGACAGTGTCAGCTGATTTGTGTGTGCGTGTTTTGTAAAGATGTACAGCTGGCATCGAATGAAGAGCTTGATATTCCAGGACAAGTTTTCGATTTCCGTGTCTACTGCACGAAACGAAGCCATCAAAAAGAGGACAAAGTGCGGGCAGTGCTCAAATTGATTGTTGCTCTACTCGATGACATTTCTGATGATGAATTGATGGAGCATGAAAGAGCTGATGCATTATTGTTCCTCAAAGAGCAGTTGAAACTGATGGGAAAGAAGAGCACTGCTTCCAGGTATACAGCGGAACTATTGGTTTTGTCGTCTCTGTTCCACACAATTTCGCCCCATGCATATAACTTTCTCCGAAGCAGTGGTAAGGTGCTCTTGCCACATAGTACAACAATTAGGCGAGTCTGTGCTGCTCAGGATGTGAGTCCATCAAAAGAGCAAACTGAAGGTTTTTTAAGGTTCATGAAAAGGTGAGCAAGTTTGCTTAGTCCTCATGAAAAGAATGTTGTGCTCATGGTAGATGAAATACACCTCCAGCAATTTTTTGAGTATAAAGGTGGTCGTGTAACCGGGGCTGCTGCTAACTGTGCCGAGCCAGCCAAAACAGCTCATGTGTTTATGGTGCAGTCATTGCTGTCGTCATACAAGGACGTGGCTCACATTCTTCCTGTTTCAAGGATAAGTGCTGAAGAACTGCATTGTGTTCTGCGAAGAGTGACCATGAACTTGGAAGATGCTGGTCTTCATGTAATTGCCGTAATTACAGACAACAATTCTATTAACAGGAAAGTCATGTCAATGTTTGGCAAAAGTAATGAGCCGAGTATCGTGTACCCCCATCCAGCAAAACAGGAGCAGCCGTTGTTTCACATCGTCGACACTGTTCATTTGCTAAAGTGCATCCGGAATAATTGGTTGAATCAAAAGAATTTTGACAAATGCCTGTATTACCCTCCTTTTGAACGTGAACAACAGGGTGGGAAAATGCAAGGGGCTTCGTTCACTTCTCTGAAGAAGCTCTATGAGGCTGAACAAGACAGTGTTGTAAAAGTTTCGTATGGCCTCACTTACAAATCACTGAACCCCACCAACCTGGAGAGACAATGTTAGATTAGCTCTGAAAATATTCAGCAGCTTTGTGCACTGAGCTCAAGTTAACTCTTCCCGAGGAAACGGCTGGATTTATCGACCTCATTTTAAGATGGTGGAACATTGTAAATGTTAAAACTCCACAAAAAGGAAGGAGACTGCGTGACCCCTGGTAAGAGCCAATAAGTGCAATGTGTTGCCAGCAAATAGAATTCTTAGACAAGTTTGTGACTTGGCTAGACAACTGGAAAAATGGAGGCTTGCAGGCAGGCACACTAACAAGAGAAACACATTCGGCTCCGAGGCTTTCCACATATGCATTGATAGAAGTGTCGCAGTACTGCCTGGACGAACTGGGTTTTAAGTATGTTCTTCTGGGAAAGTTCCAAACTCATGCCCTTGAGGTAAGGTTTGGAAAGTACAGACGACTGTGCGGTTCTCATTACAACGTCTCAATAACACAGGTGTTTGAAGCGGAAACAAAAATCCGCATTCAAAGCACATTGCACTTGACAGATTTTCCCGAGTATTCTAAACCAGAGAAGGAACTATGCGCAAAATTTCTGATTAGGAAGTACAAGGTTTCATTATCTGAGAGCGAAATAAAGAAACCACGAGAGGACATGCCTGCTCTAGTGTATATAGCCGGTTTCTGCGCACAAGCTGCGCTCCGGCGTCACCCTTGTGATGACCGTTCCTCGCAGCTCACTATCAAAGAGAGAGAGGTCAAGCCGAGTGATCATGTTCTCATTGATGATATGAGCAGGGGAGGTCTGAAGTTTCTTGAGCCATGCGTTGTGCACGCAGTATTGTGCACAAAAATTGTTTTGGAGCAACTAACAGCCAAGGAGTGTGAGCATCTATTTCACGCTGAAAGTAACCAGAGGCTGGTACTGCTAAGTATTATGAAATTCCTTCTGGCTGATAGTGAAGACATTGATGTTTGTGCAAGCGGTCACTATCCAGACTTCGTGCGGGAAAATATCTTGAAGCCCGCCATCAACACATTGTTGAAAAACTATGCAGTTACCAGAAATGATGCCATCACCAGAAAGCAGGGGCATGCTAAACTATCTAAGCAGAGAAAATTTCAGACGTTGAAATGAAGCTCTAAAATCAATCCCTGTAATGCAAGGCTACTGATTATCACACTGATTGTATGCTTTGATGAATGTGCCAGCTGTAAATAGCAAGTGTAAGATATGTATGACTTTCAGGTTGACTGTATGTGTGAAATGTGTTTGTAAATATCTCGAAGACCTGTGGTGTTTTGTAAATGAATGTTAAGTTCATTCTTGAACTGTGCCTGGCGGCGAGTGCCAAATGCGAAACAACTGCCTTTTCATGTGATCGTTTGTTTCACTGCCGTATTTTTCCAACAGCCAG